ATAATTGATATTTTTTATTAATGTATATATAATTAATGTTCAATCAAATCATTCTCTTGACAAGATCATTGATGAGATCTTCTCTGTTTCCCCAATCACCTTAGTTGATGAATGATCTTCTCTTAGCAATAAAGCCACCTCTTGGTCCTCTCAATTTGAATGCCCTTTAAAATTTAATAAATGAATTTATTACCACAAGAATCTGTTTGCTTCCTTGAAATGAGCTCCTACTGTAACAATCTCGTGGACGAGATCTTCAATGCTGTGAATTCCAACCTTTCCTAATTATTATTCAATAATGTTGTTGTTTGTGAGTGGGATTCTTTGACCATTAATTTTGGCATATCCTCTCTTGTAAATCAGATTCTTGATGACAGCTCTTGATGGATATCCATAGGTCACATATGGCTCGACCTTTCTGATCATTTCAATTGTAGCCTTGTTGACTCTGACAAAGGCTGCATTGTGAAGTTATCTCAATTTCAAAAGTCTCAAAGTTTATCTGACTTGTGGATTCAAGGTGTTGATACTGTAATATATATCATAATTCAATACCCTCTGATTCTTACCACCAAGATCAATTTAGATTCTGCTGGTACATAGAATCCACCTTCGCTCTTTGCCTTACGTAAGCTATCAACTAGGCTCTTATCTGCTGCTTTGTATTCGTTATCATAAGCTTAAGCATTCTTTTCCCATTAAGCTCTTCTTGTTTTGTTTGCAGCTAATCTCTCTGTTCTTCTCTTAGCAACAGCTTCTCTCAATTTGGTATCTCTTGCATTCTTCTTCACTATGTTTTCTGGAACCTTTTATCTACACCATCTAATCCAAAAACTTACTCAACTTGCATTTGTGGCTTCTTTTAAGACATTTTAAAGCAAAATAAAATCTTAAATTTTAAAATCAAATCAACTAAAACTTCCTATTCATATTCAATCCCCTATTTCTCCTATAAAATCCAATTTTGCTTTCTCCCAAAATTATCAATTCTATGGATAAGCTTAGCAAATCCCTCTCTGATCCCTTCCTTATAACTATTGTGGAAAGTCTATTTGATTATCCAAATTGCCTTATTTTGAATTTCCTATTTGAAATTTAATTTTATTCCATTCAACCCAGCATTGAATACTATTTCCTTATATCTATAGAGTATGCTTAAATAATATAATTTACAATTAAAATCAAATTTACTTGAATATATTATGACTCCACTTTCAATTTCACAAATTCATATGCTGGTGTTGAATATTTTAATTAAACAATCTCCATTTTTAAGAGATGTTTTTTCACATTTCTACAAATCTAACTATGCTATTCAAAGAAATTTAATGTAATCCAATATGTTCATTAACTATAACATATTAGATAGACTAAATTGCATCATTATTATCTATTGGATATAGTTCAAATTTAAGAAATCATAATAAATAAAGGTAAATGAAGGGTTTTATTTTCTAAATTTCAATGATAGTTAAGATTTTATAATAAAAATCGAAGTCTTTAAGTTAAGTCTTACACAATTTAAGAAGATACTTATCCATTTTTAAGGAAATAATAAACAAGTTCATTCTTTAAAATTTGACTGCGCGATTTTTATATTTTAATTGAGTGTTGTTGCAATATAGGTATGATTTCCAAACGTAATAATGTGATCGATGTTTTGGAATATTTATAAATCAAATTATTTATAAAATCCCTTCATTCTGATTATATTATTGTTCTACTCTTCTTAATATTCTAAATCCTACCATTGACCTATTTTTGTAGAAAGTTAAAAGTGAGACAAAAAACCTTATAAGATAGCCAAATTTTTGGATTCTAGATATATTAATGAACCTTCTTAAAATTATCAATTTATATGAATGATGATTCAATTTACTTCTTAAGTTTAACAGCAACAATTAAATCACAATATTAAGTTATAGTGATACCTTTAGGTATATCAGTTATTTTCCATATAAAAATAAATATATCAGAGAAGCAGAATTCCATTCAGTTATTCATGGTTTTTCATAAAATTATCATCATTATTCACTCTGTACATAGTGATTCCTTATCTATTGATTAATCATATAAATATTAATTATGGGAATCAAAATTGCAATATTTGTTTCAGCAATAATAGGATTGTTATGTGCATTTAAGATATTTTCATACTTGAGTGTGCCATCTTATTAATCAATTATACACATCAATAGAGATCATGATATAAAAATTTATAGAGATAAATTTGGTGTGCCTCACATTTAAGCACACTCAGTACCAGATGCTCTATATGCTTAAGGGTTTGTTTAAGCTTAGGATAGATTATGGTAGTTGCATATTAGAAAAATGGCATCTTAAGGTAGATTATCTGAGATTTTTGGAGAGCGTACTTTAAAAGTTGATTAGTATTTTAGAGGCTTAGATTACTAGGATTCAGCTAGAAGGATTGTTAATTAATTGAGTTCAGAAAGCTAATAATTATTCTAAGCCTATGTAGATGGAATTAACAAAGGAAGAAGCACTTTTACTCTCTTACCAATAGAATTCTAATTGACTCGTTCTAATTTTATCGAGTGGGAAATATTTGATATGATATGCTTTATTAAATTTATGGCTTAAACAACTATGAATGATTTCCATTTTGAAATGATGAGATCATCCATTAAGGAATTTGATTTAGAAACAATTAAATACTTAACAGGTATAGGACCAGACAATCTATTTGACATTGAAACTACGACAATAAATGAATAGGAATTGAAGTAATAAACTAATTTACACAGTGACTAATTTCACAATATAACATCACCATCAAATATTTAGGTTGCTGATCTTATGCAATCCTATAAGTTTTTGATTGATAATGTTATTCCTTTAAGTGTGGGAAGTAATAGTTGGGCAGTGCATGGAAACTTCACTAACACAGGTTATCCGTACTTAGCATCAGATCCCCACTTAGAAAATGGGTTGCCATCTCAATGGTATTAGAGTTCAACAACTTTTCCAAATGGAGATTTCGTTGCAGGAGGAGCTGTTGTGGGTCTTCCTTATATTTTATCAGGTAGAACAAAGAATATGGCATGGGGAATCACCATTTCATATTCTGATGCTAGTGATTTGTATGAAGAATAATTAAAAGAAATTAATGGGAAAATGCATTATTTATTCTAGGAAAAATGGTACCCAACCAAAGAAAAAGTTGAACTTATCCATTATGGAGATAAGACATACTAAATGACAATTCATAGAACTCATCATGGGCCTATCTTGAATTTCTACTTTGATGATAGAGGAACCAAAACTATCAAATAATTAGACAAGACCTACTCTTTAAGATCATTAATTGACATTGATGATATTTATGGACCAGAGTACTTTAAATACATTATTATTTTAGAGCAATGTTACGTTTCATTTAAGGATCAGATCTAAGTGAATAATTGAAGCTTCTCAAAAAGGTTGTGTATCCAGGATTAGGAATGATCTTTGCTTCATAAAAAGATGTAGCTTATATGATAGTTGGAAAATAAGTGATAAGATCAGGAAATCCTGATGATTATGGTTTTATAAAAAAGGGATGGAATGGAGAAACAGAATGGTTAGGGTTTATTCCTGAAAATGAGCATCCAATTATAATTAATCCCCCCAAAGGATTCGTTGCTACTGCTAACAATAGATTCTTCCCTAAAAACGAGAAGTATCATAGTAATTGGAATATCAATCCTACTGGCAGAGCTCATAGAATTTATTAAGTTCTATCTGAAATTGTCCCAAATAAGGTTAGTTATGAATAAATGAAATAATTACAATTAGATACAGTTGATAGCTATGCAAAGTAAAGCTGGCCAGCTTTAAAAAAGTTAATTCAATCTCAATATTTTAAAGAACAAATAGATTCTTGGGATTTCAATTTAAGTAAAGAATCAAAACAAGCCACTCTTTATATGTTATTTGAACATTTTTACTCTAAAAGTTTTCCAAACTTACCTCCTAGATGGTCATAAACATACAATTTCGATTCTTTCTTTTTCCATGAAATAACAAGATTTAAGGAAAATGGAGCATGGTGTCTACCTTATACATGCTCATAACTCTTAAATTATGCAGTTGAAAAGGCTGTCGAACATTACAAATAATTACCAAAACAGGGATGGGGAAACAATCATAAAAAATTTTAAGGACATTTTACCTTTAAGGATAAATTCTTTGGTATTTTTGATAGAGAAATACCATTTGGTGGAAACAGAAGGTTTATTATATATGCTAATATTATAGAACTCCATCTGTGTCAACATTTGATATATCTCAATTTCCATTTAGAGGTTTGGCTGGAGCAAATTATAGAATGCTTGTATCTATGGCACCTGGTGATGTTGGTTAATTCATTGTAGATGGTGGAGTTAGTGGAAATCCTTTGTCTGAACATTATGACGATCAATTATCAATATATGCAGAAGGGAAGTACATAGCAATGTATCAGAAACAATTTGACAAGCTAACTTTGCTTAAAAGAGCTGAATAGAGTGAGGATTTATGAAAATTATTTGTAAAAAATATAATTTGAATATATTAAATAGTTTATTCAATAATCTCTCCTATTAAATTTATCTATTTTTGTCATAAAATAAATTATTATTTATGTTCCAATCTTTAATTCGCTTTTCTTTTAGCAAGTTTGTTCCTTCCAAAGTTACTTGTTGGAATTGTAAATCAAATGAGTTTATAAACAGATTTATTTGTGGTTAGTGCAAATATTTAAAAGAGCCTTCTCGTTAATTATAAGATATTAATTACTTTGAGCTTTTTGATTTGCCTATTAACATCAATGTGGAAACCAGATATTTAGAAAACAAATATCGATCATTGCAATTAAAATTTCATCCTGATCGATTTGTGACTATGCCTTCGATCAATATTTCGTATAGTCAAGAATATTCTGCTTTTATCAATGAAGCCTATTCAGTACTGAAAAACATTCACGAGAGAGCAGAATACATTGTATAATACCTCAATATTATATAGTTGTCTCTTAAGGGATTTTAAATTAAAGAGTGCAGTGTTCTATTGGACTTAGAGTTTATGGAGGAAATTTTGGAATTGCAGTCCCAAGTTCAGAGAGGGGAAAATATATCTCAAATTAATCAAAAGAATAATTTGGAAATTGAAAAAATGACAAAATAAATAATTTAAGACATCTCAAATGAGCAATACGAAAAGGCTTACGAAATCATACTCTATTTAAAATATAGATAACGACTAAAGGATTAGATTCTAATACATATCTGATATATATGCTCGTTTATTAAATCAATATGATAATAGTAATTCTCTACATTTATGATTTAATTTTTACTTAAATTAAGTTATTTTTTAATTATTAGGAAAACCAAAGAATTACTCATAAATGTTAAGTTTTAAGATTAATAAATATTATAATTATGATTTTTATATTAAACTCAGAAAATTCCTAAGAATCAATTTTTCTGCATTTTCTTATTATAGAAAATGTAATTCTGCCTCATCTTTCAAACTGACATCAAATTTTATTCCTTCAACTAAAGTTCTCTTAAAAAACTAGTCACTGTACAATTCGAATGAAAAATGAGATTAAAAATATTACACTCTTTAAATACTGAAAATAAAACAATTAATTAATTATTACATAACATCAACAATAAATAATAAATGAGTTGATTATTCTTTGTAATGGTTTAGTATATTTATAAAAATAATTATTATGAAAAAAATATTTCCATCAAACAATTAAAATGGGATTTTAGTTGCTGATCCTGATCAAACTACTGCCCAAAGGTTCCATTAATCACAAACTTCCAAAGCAAATTTCTCTGTTGTGCCTAGCGAACCTGGGTAAACATTATACGAAATTATTGAGAAGAACAAACTACAATATTTAGAATATTATGGGTTATATACGGAATAAAGGTTTATGGAAAATATGGCAGGTTGTTATCAATTATAAAATGATAGGATTGATGTCGATCCCAGAAAAACAAAAATTGCTTGAAAGTTTCTTAAATATGTTTGAGGAGATGATGCAATGCTTAAACACTATTTAAAATAACCTAGTATTGATTAACTTTACTTCTTAAGACTTTCAACAGATTTATAACACTACCCCAGAAAATGTTGCTAATTCACTTTTTAAGGATATTAAGGTATTAAGAATTATAATTTAAGACTCTTGAAGGTCTTCATTTAGAACTACAATATTAATCATCTCTCAGATATTTAGAAACTGTACTTGAGGCACTTGATCTAAATCCAGACCAATCAAAAAAGTTATACCTATTAGATGTGAAGCAATGGTCATCCCAATGTTACACTCACCTAAACCAGCATATAACAACCCGTAGTATGAAAGCTCAAAGTAAAACGTGTTGTTGCTGCAAAGTATGAATTATTAACCATATTTAAATCTCTTTATTTGAAGTGAGAGACTTCACTTTTAAATTGATACATCATAAACTTAAATAACTATTATCATTAAGTATTTCAATAAATTCCTAAACTTTTATCCCTAATTCTTACATTTTTTTTTTAAATGTATTATAAAGAGGGGTTTATTTGAAATAATATTCTCACTCTTTCAATATGCTAGTCTCTTTGAATAGGCTATATTTATCTAGTAGGGATTTTGAGAATGCTATGTGAATATCAAAATTTATTAAATACTAATTTTCAATTTATATAGATTTTTTGTTAGCTTTGTATTTATCAAATTCAATGAAAATAAATCATAAGCAGGCTCGATCATATTTGAACATTTCTAATCAAGTTCTAAGATTTTTGAAATGCTATTATCTCGATTTACCGTATTATAGAAGATGAGACATAATTAAAAATTTAAGTCCTTATAATTTTATACCATCTTTTAGAAACTTTTTAGATTAATTTATTGTCTAAACATTACTCTGAATTATTTTTATTCTATATGGTATGATTAGAATTATATATAGAAATAATATTACATTATTTTCAGTTTATTCTCTTCTTTTATTTTTAAGCTATAAGTTAAAAATGAAGCCTTAACATTATTTAAATTAATATGAGCGATTTAATCAGAGAGATGGATGACACTAATTCAGATACTTCTATTGTAGATTTCAATTTCGAATCAGATGATGAAGAAATTATTAATTAGAATGATTAGCCCATTTAAGAAATTTAAGGTCCTGTAGAAATTGTTTATCAAGAGGAATAAGTGATTTTAGAGAATGGGTCATCTATTTAAGACTAATAAAATTAATAAGAACAAAATAACTAAGAGTAATAAGGAGAATAAAATGAGATTTCTTTACCAGTACAACATTATCAAGTAAAGCCAAAACCAATAAAGTACAAATAACCTCGAGAATGTAATATACAATAAGGATATCAAATTTTAAAGACTTTTGGCTATTATGCTCATACTTCGTACAAAAATGTTTAATAGAAGAAAGAACAAGCATTTATAAAGTTTACAAATTATATAATTTCAGAGGTCGAAAAGATAAAAAGATTATGATTTTTTGTATATACTTAATGAATTCATTATTAATTTGGATCCATTTAGATTCCCAAGTATAAATGCTTGTCATTAGTTCTTAGTTATCTATGAAACAATTGAAAGTCATCCTAATCATATTTAAACAAGAATACTTTAGCACTGGCCCCTTCTCTTAGAAATTGAAATAGAATCAATCCTGGTTCCTGATAGTTCCCCTTATCTATAAAGTTAGGTCTTTTGTGATCAACAAAATTGTGATTTAAATCTGCGGTTGGAAAGTATTTAATCCATTATTTTGTTTATTTATGAGTACCCATACAATCATCGATATAATCTTATTGCTTCTGTTCTTCTCTCATTTATTTCTTCTCATCCTCCTCTATAGCAAATTGCGGTCTTTAATCATGCTCGGACATCATATGAGGATTAGTTAATGGATCAGGTTTAATTCTTGTCTTTATTTATGAATTAAATTACTTTGAATAGAGGTTTCTTCTTATCGAGTACATCATCTCTAAATTTATGAGTTGAGGGAGGATTATAGAAATCTTACAATTTCTCTTTTTCTCTCTATTTTAGATTAGCCAATTTATTTTTTAATGTTTGAACATCTTCGGGTTTAAAGGTAGCATAAAAAATATGTTTATCTGCGTTTTGATCTTCGTGGAGTTATTTTTTATTTTGATTTGGTTGAAAATATTTTGAATCAGATGTCTAAAAGCCTGTGTCAGATAATCCATGATATGGTTTCCTCATTAGTACTGGTTAAGAGAGATATTTGGTAGCTGTTTAACCTAATTATTAAGTTTAATTTTAATCTTGACTCTATTTTTGCGAATTCATTTTGTCTACTTTATAATTTAGGTTCTCAGGCATAAATTTAAATATAGGATTTCTACTAGATTTGCATAGTTTGGGTTCCTTACTTAAGCGTTCTGCTTCATTATAATAAGCCTATGTTTCGAATCTAAGAGTGGGATACGACTATTATTAATCATTATTATTGCTACACAATTATTAAATGATAATACAATTTAGAATTAACTACTTTTTCAAAAGGATTATCAGTACCCTGCTCTTTTGTGATTCCATTATTAATTGGTTTGATCATAATTGTCTCTTAAAGAAGTATTCCAGCTTCTGGTTATTGTTCTGGAAATTATCTGGGTTCTTGTAATTCTGATGTATGAATAATTTGTGACTATGAGGAATTCAACTTAGGTTTGAAAGGAAAGGGTTCCATTTCGTGCATGTCAAGAACTTTACTAATTTTAACAGGGGGTAAATCATGATTTGAAGGTAATTTCTCACCTGCAGCCAATAACAATTAAATCCAATGATCTCTATAAGGTCTGGACTTTTCAACCCAAATATGATCCTAATTTAAAACATAATGAAGTTAAACTATTTGATATTCAAATTACAATACCAGCTCCTAAGACTTCATCAATATTAATAGGTTCTTTTAGCTAATCCTTAAAAGCTACTATTCTTTTGCTAATTGCTTCATCAATCATGGCTTGGGCTAACTTAAAATAAAAAGAAAATTACTTCATCTTCAAAAAATAAATAATGCTTTTTGCTAAAAACTAATATGTCGTCCTTTTTTATCCATCCGTCATTGTCTTAATCCATTTTCTCAATCAATCGCTGAATCGATATTCTGGGAATCTGAGTAGTTTTATGAATGAGTTTATCATATTTCCTTGGTACACTATATGATTTGTTTGGAGTGGAGGATTTTTAATGTAATTTCGATTGTTGAATATCACCAAATTGATCTTTACTATTTTCCATTATTATTATTAATAATGATATAAAAATGAAACTGATTCTAATAATAATCATTCTTTTAAGGGATCTTTTAAAGGATCATATTAATTTAATTTCATACCAAGAGTTTCTAAATTTTTAATTGCTGTTTCCTAGGTCTGATAATAGTTATTTATCGTATGAAAAGCAATCGTATTTTTAAATCCAATTTAATACACTTTTGATAGATATTAACTTAAGTATTATTTCAAATCTTCTGCCTTATTATCAAATTGATTTAAAATCTCATCGTTGTTAAATTCTTTGATCAAATAATCTTCAGTGATATACATTGGAGCTGGTTAATCCAGATATTCCGAAAGTTTGATATAGTTTTGATATAATTAGTGTTGTTTGAATTTAAGAAAATTTATTTTAACTTGAAATTATTTAAGTGCACCTTTATCTTAATTATCGAGATCGAATAAGTAGGCATTAAATGATTTCAAGATAATAGAATTTTTAAAATGCCCTTAAAAATCTAATTACGAAATCCTTGAAAAACTCTGTATGCTATTTAAGGCAATATATTTGGTTGGATGCTTTTCAATCTATTTTATTGGTTCATAGACATATAAATAAAACATGAAAAAGGCTCTAAACAAAAAAGAAAGGGTTACCACAAAATTTAGATAAGGGTTAGGATCTATCTTGATTATTAATGAAGTAAATATAAACCAACCCATATAATATCCTAACACATTAAATGTTAGTTTATATAGTTTATCTTCTAAATGATAAATAATTATGAAACTCATCAAAATTATGCAAGCTAATTCTTCAAGCCAGCTATTCATCATTATATACTTTTTGTTATTATGATAATAATCTAACCAACAGTTTACATGACTTTAATCAATATAAGTAGTTATGAATGATAATAATATAAATCCAATAAATGTGTATATGTATCCAGTTATTAATAAATATTTTTCACTTGAGAAATACTTTGCTAAAAAGCTTTGAGGGTTCAATTAATATTTACTAAAAGCTGCAGTAATTCTTGCTGTTTTCAATAAAGCAAATGAGAAACAGCAGCCTCTTGACAAAATGTAAAAAAAGGCTATAAATCCATTAGAAACTTCATTTTACTCTTTGCAATTTTTTTTATCAATAAATAGGAATTTGTAGATTTCAATGAGCAATACAATTTAACTTATTATGAGAAATACTCCTTAATGTAATGTTATTTTAGGTGACAATTGTTTCAGAGGATAATCGTCCTGATTCTTGTAAAATTTATGTAAATAACTAGCTTATTAATATGATGCAATAACCATAAATGCTATGAATGCAATTATTAATGCAATTAGTAATGCAAATTGCATTTAATATGATAAAAAATATTTTTTAATTTAGATTTCTACTAAATTGAATATAATCCATAGTTCTTCGATTATTAAATATTAATAACCTAAACTACCTAATAAAATTGATAAAATGAACTAATAAAAATAGAAAGATGAAATTAATTAACTGCATTTTTAATTATTATTTTTAACGTTGTATCAAAATTCAAAGGCCTTGGTTAAAAAGGCTTGGACCTCTTTTTCATGAAGCTAATGGAATCCAGTAGCTGGTGAACCACTTGGTTTTCTGCCAATATATTAAACTTGCTATTAAATTAAGCCTTAGGTTTTTGAGATAACACTTTGGATTCTTGGCCTAACAAAAGACCAAGGTCCATAATTTTGATGTTCTTCTTAGACCCAAGCAAAATGAGCTTTCTTGTACTTTTAGATAACAGTTTATAAGAATTCGTATGGGAATGGTGCCAATTATTCAATTCTCACAATAGCAGTATTCTTAATAAGAACAATTTTTTACCTTAACTTTGAGCTCTTCTCTTTTTTTAAGAATGTCATAATAGACTTGTCCTGAACACAAGATGACTCTTTGGATTTAACCTGGTGAATCAATTAATTCAGGGAAAGGGTCATCATAAATTTACGAGAATCTGGCCTATTCAGAGAATTCATTTAATTTAGATTTAGCAGCCTAGAGTCTCAGAAGCTTTTTGGAAGTCATGGCTATAAGTGGTTTTCTGAAATCTCTTCTCAACTATCTTCTTAAGGAGTGGAAATAATTAGCAGGTGTAGTGCATTGAACAATCTACATATTTGAATTTCTCATCTATCTCTTAAGTCGAACTTAATACATATTTACATTTAATTACCTCCTAGATTTCTTTCAAAGACAGCAGGATCATCATCACTTAATTGTAAAAACCTTTCCACTCTTCCTGAACTATGCTCTGGTCCTTATCCATCCATACCATTAGGTAATAACATAACTAATCCACTATCAACGTCCCATTTAGATTCAGCACTTGCTATATAATTATCAATAATGATTTATGCTCCATTTGCAAAATCTCCAAACTGAGCTTCCCATAGTACTAATGTATTTGGATTAGTAATAGAATATCCATATTCAAAACCTAATACTCCATATTCTGATAAATGAGAATTATAAATGCTTAATCTATCATTTTCTTAGCCTTTTGGTATTACTGCATGTAATGGAACAAAAGAGGGACCATTTGGATTTTTTTAATCGTGAATAACAGCATGTCTATGAGAGAAGGTAGCCCTTTGAACATCCTCACCAGATAATCGGACATTAAATCCTTCATGAAGGAGTGTCCCAAATGCCAGAGCTTCAGCAGTTGCAAAATCAACTCCTTAATCTTTCTATATTGAATTGAGTCTCTCCTCATAAAACTTACGTATTTATGGATGAGCATTAAAATCAGATGGAATTGTATTTATTTTATCTCCAATTTATTTCAAAATATTAATTGGCACTCCAGTATCTTTGATTCTACCCCAAAGTGTTGGTACTTTTATCATTTCCCAAGGAACAGGTTGCCAATCTTTCAAATTATAGTCCATTTTCCTTGATTTTTGATATGCTACTTCTAGATTGTCCTCATGTGTTTTCATCAATTGATCTACCTCAGCCTTTGTCACTATTCCCTAAGCAATCAATTTCTCTGCGAATTTCACAAAAACAGGTGGAGTTTTCTCAATCTTTTCATACATGATTGGTTAAGTAAACTTGGGTTGATCTTATTCATTATGTCCATATCTTCTATAACCAACCAAGTCGATGAAGATATCTCTTTTGAATTTAGTTCTATAAAGAGTTGCAACCTAAAATACTTTATCTACCAATTCAGGTTCATCAGCATTGACATGGATCACAGGTGCTTAAATAGCATGAGCAATATCTGTGCAATATAAACCTGATCTACTGTCTTTGGGCACTGTAGTAAATCCAATTTGGTTATTGGACACTACATGAATTATGCCCCCTGATTTATATCCTTCTAAGTCTGCCATTTATAATGACTCATATACAATGCCCTAACCGGCAACTGCAGCATCTCCATGAATCAATACTCCGAATGCCTTGTCTCCATTTCTATCTTTATGATAATCTTAAATAGCCCTGACTTTGCCATAAACACAAGGATCTACAGTTTCTAAATGAGAAGGATTTGGTAGCATTTCTAATCTTAGTTTTTTTTCTCCAAATTTAACATTATGGACACTTCCCAAATGATATTTTACATCTCCAGAATTACCCCAAATGTCTTCGTTATATATTCCTTTTAAATCTTAAAATTCAACCATAATTTCTTCGGGTGATTTCTAAAACACGTTATATAATGTATTCAATCTTCCTCTGTGAGCCATTCCAAATACTATATATTCTACTCCAGCTGAAGCAGCACTATCAACCATAGATTGCAATCCTGAAATCATCGAATCACATCCTTCTATTCCAAATCTCTTAGAAGTATTAAACTTCTTCTGCAAAAATGTACTAAATGCATGTTCTTATCCAAGTCTAATCCAAATTATACGATGCTTTACCTTTCAAAAGTTTTCAATTTTTACTCCTTTGAAGGAAGAAACTCTTCGAACTTCTCAATCTACTCTCTAATCCAATTTCTTTCCTCTGTTGATTAAATATGCATATATTCATAAGATATTTTACCGCAATATGCCTTTTCTAAATAATTAATTAAATCTCTCAATTTCATTACTACGTAATTAATCAAATCATTACATTATTTTTCTTTGGATATACCTGAGCTTACTTCATCATGAATATAAAACTCTCTGTCTAAATCTTCTTCTGCGAAATATTCACGATAATCCAATTTTGTATAACCTTTAACTTTTCCTATCTGCTAGATGTGTTCCAAATCTAGTGGATCAACTATTGATTTTTCGTGACCTCTGTGTCTGTATTTGTTGATTAATAATCTCACTCTAAAATGATCTGATAACAATTTTCTGACACCTGACACTTGCTTAGAAATTACATGCAACAATACATCTGCTTAAAATGAGATTGTCTAACCCTTTTAAGGCTCAGGTGTAAAATCGAATTTGTTAGATTCACACACTTATCTAAAATATGCATCCCAACTAGCTGGCACAGAATTCGGGTCTTGAGACCATTTATCTAATAAGTTGTCTAAAAATTCTGCATTCTAAGCACCAAGGAAGGAGTTTCCAAATTTTTGTAATTCTGAAAAATTATAGCGATTCAGATTCTTTCCAATAAACCTTAACATATTTTTATTTAATAATAATTGTGCTTAATACGCTATTTCCTAAAACCTAATTTGATTAAATTAGACATAAAATTTATGATTTAATTTTAACAAAAAATTCGACAACGGCCAGATTCGAACTGACGCGGGGAACCCCAACAGATTTCTAGTCTGCCGCCTTAACCACTCGGCCACGTTGTCTATGACTGATACCTTAGCCAATCTCTGGCATAAATATCCTCATAGATTGAGGTCCTATTCATAATGGACTTAAAAAATTATTATCATAAACTAGATTTTAAAACTCTTTCAATACTCATAGCATAATTATAGTATAATCAATCAAATCAAGTGCTTATTTACATGTTTTCCATTCTAATCCAATAAGCCAGTGAAATCACAGTTATTTTAAAATATTATCCTTTTTTTCCTTCCTTCTCTTACATTATTTAGTAAAATTAATATTTAAACATTTTAACCGAATTCAGCTTATAATTAGATTCAGGATTAGGATTTGAGACCTAATATTTCTTTAAATTTGATGGAAAACTATTTTCGAATTGTGTATCATTTATATATAATTTAACATATTCATTCAAATTAGTTAAAAACATCACTATTGAATAAATCTAAATGCAGAACCTTCATATAGTCAACATAATTATCATTACAATAGATCTTGATCATGTTTAAATTAATAGTGTCATAATTCAGATCTTATTAATAAATTAAGATTTAAATATTTTTTATAAAATAATTCAATTCGAATATAGAGTAATATAGAATGATTTGTAATTATTTAATCAAATCACTATTTTAATATAATTTATTTTGTGCACACCTGATTGTAACATCATTATTTTTTTATTAATACGTATTTTCTGCAATATAAGTATTAAAGCCTCGAATCTTCAGATTTAAATATTCTTTTGCAAATAATGAATTCATTCTTGTTTTACGATCCTAACTTCCTTCTTCAATAATAGCTCTTGTTTCAACAGCTAGTCCAATACAATTCCATGTTCGCCTTAAGGTAAATAGTTTAATTAACTTGTTTAGAAATGCTTATTCCATGTCACAATCATTAAGTCCCTAAATTTAGCCAAAATCTCCTTAGGAATGCCATACTATTGATTAAAATACCGTAAAAAATGATGAAACCATCGATGACTAAAGCTCATTTGAACTTTCTAAAAGTAACAAAATAAAAAAACTCATCAAAAAAACTAAAGAAACAAAGTCAAATGCCAATAATACATCTGGAAAAAACCAAAAAAAAAAGATATTTCTCTCAATGAAAGACATTAAGGATGTCCAATATAAAAAGTAAAATATGTCATCAATTTAGATTTAAACTAGTTCAAGAAGAACAGATTCAAGAAGGTGTAAAAAATCTAGAGGAGAAGAAATGAAATTTTAAATACTCTCTATGTTATATGTGTATATGCAACAAGCTTATATTTATTATGTCATTTCTAATAACATATATTTTTATAAAAAATCATTATAAAAGTCCATAAAATAAATGATATCATTTTACAAAATTGTACATGAAACGGGAATAAATGGCAGGGTTCTAAGTCATCTAGTATCAATTAAAAATTGTAGAATGATTCGTCTTTAATTAAATTCGACGAAAAATGAATTGATAATTTATATTGCGCATATTATTATTAATTATAATAAATTTAATATTGAAATTTATTTTGTATTTAATTCAATAAATCATAATAGTTTCTTCTTATATTACGCTTATTATTTAAAAATAATCTTACAAGTTGGAGAATAAGTCGCTTTCATGATTTTTAATCCTTTTACAATTTTAGAAAATTGCATCCTTTAATTTCATCTTAATCGGATTGTTGTAAATATAATCAGATGTTGATAATTGAATTGTATATTTCTTTCGAATTGAAGTTTATCAATCAAATCTGTTACTATCAAAGCTATTTATTATTCAATTAATTTATAATTTGTTGTAACATATATACTTTAGACGGATTTAATATTTGGAAGGGCAGATTTTTCAAATTCCAATTTAATTGTGTTCCTATTATTATTGTTCAAAATATTGTTTATTAAGAATAACTCAAGATAGAATTTAAATAAGTGTTTAATTTATCCTAAATTTGATTATATGTTATAAATTATTGAAATTTTTTTGATGAAAAGCTAATATTTGAATTAAATAGTTTTTTTTCATTTAAAATGCTATCTATTGTTAAATTATGAATTGAAAATATAAATCTTATTCTAATAATTTAAAATAATCTTTTTAGTAAAAAGATTTTGGGATCTATCAAATAATCCGATAGATATAGAAATAATAAAAATAAAAATAAAATTATTATTCATATTAAAGGAACAATATTTGATATAATCATCACAATTACTCAAGATATTGATGTATTATATCCTCATTATTCAATTCTGTAGATAATGAATATGGAAATTCCTAAATATAACGAAAAAATTAATAATTATTAAATGTGTTTTATTTTAATAAAAGCTTCTCCATCTTAAGAAACCTAATAAATTTTTTTATTTTAGACTCGCATGAATAATATCGTTTAATAAATAGGATAAGCTGAATTCAAATTAAAAGAAATTACTTATAATATATTTATATATTAGGCTCTAAAAAAGGATTGAAAGCTTCCTATTGCAAATAATATTACATTATTCATAATTTCATGATGATTGGATAATATCATTTCAAAAATAGGAAATTTTGATATTAAATACAAATAAAATGCTCAATTTATGAATTCATACATAATAATGCTCTATAGGCATCCAAATCTACTTAAAATCTAGCGAATGAGTAATTTTAATGAATCTAATCTAAAAGTTAGAAAATTGTTAATTTAATTAAATCCAAAATTGTCTAATAGTAATGATTGTTTGTTATATGGATTAAATTAACTATCTTCTACCTCAAATGCTTTAAGAAAATAAAGTTGAAAAATTACAAATTTCTTAGAATATCTTTTTTGTTATTGGTATTCATAATAGTTTTATTCAGCTTAAAGCAATATTTGCTATTCTTATTGGTTATCTAGCAATTACAATAAGTCAACAAAACTTTAGTTCTTAAAATTTAATAGATACTTTGATGAGAATGGTTGCAATATTTTGCTAACATTAAAATAATCTCTTTGAAAAATTTTAAGAATTTATAGAAACGTGGCTTTTTAAATCACTTTACAAAAAAGAGCATGTGATATTATAAGAGATTTCTCAGATGAATTATAAAAATTGCACTTTAATATTTCTCATCTTCCAGAAATTTGCAGTTCTGCTCTTACTGAAAAAGCAATGATGACACAGTTGATATAAGCAAATCATATTAAACAATAGGATTTAACTCAATATTATTCAATTATTATATTATTCTTTTTACAAATTTATTAAATCAAAATAATTATTGTGAACCAGATATATATCTTTAAACCACATAAAATAAATATCATCTAATAATCAAACGAGATTATTAAGATTCTAAATCACTGATTGATAATAGTTATATTTTTAACTAATTCCCTATACTTCAGGTTTTTTGTTCCTTTTACTTTTTTATTGTGAATAAACAAAATTTTGCAATAAAAAATAATTAATAGATTCTAATGATTTATTGATAAAGTTCTTTGGTGTTATGAGATATAAATTAATGTATTTATGTTTAATGTATTATTTCTTATAATGTCACAAATCATTATTCTACGTTTAATTCAACATTAATTCCTGGGCCAATCTTGAAGTTGGTTATATCTTTGAAAGTTGGCAATGTGCATTAGAAATCAATTACTCTTTTGTGAATCTAATCCTTATATAATTGTATTACTCTCATTTCAAATCTATCCCAAGTCTTTGAACCTTCACCACATGGACTCTTTCTGACAGTCATTTTAAGGTGCTTTGTTGGCATTCTGACTGGTCCTTTGAATACAACTTGTTATCCTTAATCTCTCTTAATGTTGAAATTTATTCATTACTTATATTCCTCTAGCCTTTTCAATGACTTAAGTAGTGAAATTTTCTAAATCCTAAGCGCTTCTGGATGTAACGATCATTCTAATTTTTTTAGTTTGTTATTCATCTTCTACTTTCTTTTCTTTCAAGTCAGCCATAATATTTTTTTTTTAAAATATATTTTTAATAAAAGATTTAAAATGTATTTCTTCTAAGTGAGGCTTTTTATTTATAATTATAAATCATAAATTATCTGATTTTATATTTTTTAAGACCTAAGTTCACTCCCTACTTTTCATATCAACCTGTTCAAATGCATTTTAACCCAAAATAAGTGACATAATAATTAATTTTTATTTTTCCTAAATAATTCATCTGATCCACAAAACATACAATAAATTAATGAATAATCATCAATAGATTAATGATATCAATAACATATTTTAAAGAAATCAGTAGTTGTGTAGAGATATAATTTTCATCTGAAATTTCTATATTTTAAGGAATATTAACAAACAATAGAGTCAGATTTATATAGATATAAAACTTGTTTCAATAATTTTAAACAGGTTTGTTCAACAATAGGTCTATTAATCCTAAAAAAAGTAAGAGATATTGATAGTTTTGAATTGATAGGAATTGATTAATAACATTGATGATAAGCCTTAATTTGTAATATTGAACTAATTATATGTTATATTTACTCTTAATAACTAAAAATTATCTATTTATTTAACAATTTTTAACTTGAAATTAATACAACTATAAATTTAAACTCTAGTCTACTTTTAAGAATTTGTTCCATTAAATCTGTTATAAATGAGCATAGTGGAGAGTGCTAGTCCTATTGGTTATAATAATTAGAAGGACAAAAGGATTTATTGAACAGAATATTGAAAATCAATTTACTGTTTTTGGGAGCAGATAAGGGTATTCGAATTAATTATTCACCTATATAATTGACTAGAACTGAATTCAAAATAAGAGTTTTGTTAATTGGAACTTCCAGTTTATAGTTTATTGATAATATTTATCTCTCACTGATATTA